TGTTGATCATTCATTCATCCTAATAAAATGTCTTCTTAAAAAGTAATAAAACTATAAAATCATTATTTTTTGTGTGAGAACTAAGAATTTAAGACCTAATGTGGACTTGTTTGGGCTTGCCTTGAGGGGCGTGGTAATGGGGGTCCGAGGGCGGAGCCCCCGACCCAGCCGCTAGACACAAAAAAAGCATAAAAGCATCGAAGTTTCAAAAGGCGCACGCCTGGGCTGAGGCACAAGGCGCACTGGGCACACGCCTAAGCGCACCAGGCGTGCGCCATTTGAAACGGTTACGCCTAGGACTTGGGCAAGGCGCCTACCCTGAAATGCACCTCGCCTGTGCGCCTTTTAAATCACTGGGAACCGGTAGGATGTAAGTGGGTATTCATAGTTTAGTAGAGGTGTAAACGGATCGAATTCGAATCCGATTAGAAAATTCGATATCCGACAGATATTGAAAATTAATATTCGAATTCGAATTCAACTAAATATTCAAATATTCAATTTGATTTGAATTCAACCAATTAATTATTTTAGGTAATTAATAAATATATAAAATAATTAATTTACTTATATAAAGTATATAAATATATAATTTTTTTATATAATTTAATTATTATATATAAATTATATAAAACATTTAAATACTTCATATATTATATATAAGAATTAAATAATCAATCGAATTCGGATATTTATCAAATCGAATAAGTTCATATCTGAATTCGATTCGATTATGTTGAATCTCGAATTTGAAATCAGATTTTCGAATACTGTCGACACCCCTTTTTTTTTGACACCCCTACTATGGAAAGGTACAAAGCCCAGTTGGTGGCAAAAGGGTTTACTTAGGTGTATGGAGTAGATTATGCAGAGACATTTGCTCTAATAGCTAAGATGAATTCTATCAAAATCCCTTTTCTCTCTAGCTACTAATCTTAATTGGGACCTTAATCAGTTAGATATCAAAAACGCCTTCCTGAATGATGATCTTAAAGAAGAGGTGTACATGGTACAACCACCTGGCTTTTGTGCCCAAGGCAAAGAACAGAAAGTGTGTAGGCTAAAGAAATCTTTGTATGGACTAAAACAATCGCCAAGAACTTGGTTCAACAAGTTTCATCTAGTAATGCAGCAGATTGGCTATAAATAGTGTTAAACTGATCATACATTATTTGTGAAAAGAGAAGGAAAGATTGCAGCCTTGATTGTGTATGTTGATGACATAGTAATCACAGGTAATTGGAAAGTTAAAATCCAGAAGCTAAAGGAGTTTCTAGCCACTCAATTTGATGTGGATGATCTAGGTCCATGCAATATTTCCTTGGAATTGAAGTGGCCTGCTGAAAAAAGGGGATCCTCATTTCTCAAAGGAAATACATCCTAGACCTGTTATAGGATTCAAGAAAACTAGGGGGCAAGCCAGTTGACTCTTCCATTGATCCAAACCACAGACTGGGTGATTGTTGTGGTGAGACTATCAAGGATGTAAAACAATTCTACGGACTTGTAGGAAGTCTCCTGTACTTGTCCATGACCGGCCAGACATTGCTTATGCTGTGGGTGTTCATGCCCCTAAGACCACACATTTAGAGGCGGCTAAGAGAATCCTTAGGTACCTAAAGAAGTTTCTGGGAACTGGTTTACTATTTCAGAAGAATGGGGATGAGCATTTGAAGGTTGAAGTGTATATAGATGTTGATTGGGCTGGATCAGTTGATGACAGAAAGTCCACATGTGGGTATTGTACCTTTGTGGGAGGAAACCTAATCACATGAAGAAGCAAGAAACAAACTGTAATGGCTAGGTCTAATGCTAAATCCAAGTATAGGGCAATGTCCCCTGGAATAGCTGAGGTTATGTGGGCAATGTCCTTGAATTGTGACAACAAGGCTGCCATCAATATTGCAGCCAACCTTGTCCTTCATGATAGAACTAAACATATTGAGGTGAACAAACACTTTATTAAGGAGAAACTTGTTAATGGGAAAGTGTGCACTTTGTATGTTAGTTCCAAGGAGCAACTTGCAGACATTTTTACAAAGGGCCTACATCACTTGCGGCACAATGACTTATGTGACAAGTTGGGCTTGATTGACATCTATGTCCCAACTTGAGGGGAAGTGTTAAAACTATTAAAAATCTGCAATTTAGTGCTATAGGGGCACATATGTAATTTTTCCTTTCTTTTTTATTATTTTTGGGTCGCCCTAATACAAATATAGAAGCGGGCACTGCCAACCAATGTTTTTGACTCCAAATCTTTTTTTCTCTTCTCTCCTCTCCTCTCTGTTCTGACTTTCTATTGGTCTTTTACCAAGAAAACAGTAATAATAGACTCTAGGGCTGCTTGGGCCTGGCCTAGCCCGCTCACTGGGCTTGATATTATATCTCAGGCATCCAGGCTTTCCCATATAAATTAATATAATTATTTTTTAAAATATAAATTGTCAATTTAATTTTATAATAAAAATTATAGAGCACACGCACAATTATAATAATAATATCAATTTATTAATTTGTACCATATGTGGTATTACAGTATACATATATGGAATATACATATATCATAACTTCCAGGCTGGGCTAGGATGAGTGGGCCTAGGGTTTTCCAGGCCCAGGCCCAACCTGCATTATGTGTGGGCTTAGTATGGGTTTAGGCTAGGGTGGGTCAGATTATGCAGGCCCAGGAAGAAATGATCAACCCTAATGTGAATTGGTTGGTTGTATCATACAGATATCTATACCAATCTCCCTTTTCCTTCCCTGAAATATCATAATATGCCCAAATGCCTTTATTTAATGTCACAAGTAATATTTAATTACCTTCACAATGAGCCCAATTATCATGTTTAAGAAATCCAGGACAAAATATTGACAACTTTAGGGTATCACTTTATTTTCTGCCTTTTGGTTACTTGAGCACCTGAACTAATCTTATTATTCCAACATTTTATTCCTGTTTTCTTGATTGATAAAAAATGAGTTTGTTTATGTAATAAAAAAGTAATTAATTTAAAGTTTTAAGCATATGCTCACTAGTCTTATTATTCTAACATTTTATTCCTGTTTTCTTGATTGATAAAAAATGAGTTTATTTATGTAATAAAAAAGTAATTAAATCAAAGTTTTAAGCATATGCCCCTAAGTATCACCATGCGGTATTAGTTCAACATTATTCTGTTGGGCATTTGTTGAAATGTAGCACCCATCACTAAAAAAGTTCAAGAAGCAATTTATATTAAAAAGTTCTTGTGGAGGTTGTAATGGAAAGCTGTGTATTATTTATCAAAAAAAGGAAAGTGGTGTATTTATAGAAATAATTAGAGGGCAACTAGGGCGGACTCATTCAAATTAGGTGCCCAACTTGCAGCCCTAGAAATAATCGTAAGGAAGACCTTGAAAACAGGTTTTAGGAGTGACAAAAATCAAAGAAACAAATAATGTTTTGGCTACTTTACATCAAAATTTCAAGGATTGTGTTATTCCTTCTTGAGTATTGCTACTGCCAACTCCTATTTCTTCTTTACCTTCTATTTTGTTTCTCTTAATTTATAAATCGAGGATATTTTTCTCAAATGGTCCCATCTTATCTAGGGTCAAGTATGTTTTAAATTGCTAATCCATTAACTACACGGGCACAAGTGCTAAAATCCACAGGTATCCCCTATATCTTATATCTTGCTCAACTAGGACAATGATGGGACAAGAACACTTCTACAGATACCCTTCCCTTATCTCAAAGTGATTAAGATAAGCAATATAAATGCCTATTGATAAGAGTGAGGACCCACACAAGTTTAAGATAGCCTCATTTACATAATTATCCCTTGATTAGTCATCAGAATAATACTAAGAGTTGTTGTTCCTTTTTATTCTAGTTTTAGCTAGCTTAGGATTAAAGTCTCTTTGAGAAACTCTTGTAATCTTAATTATACGTAGGATCGATCTTATTCTCTAGAGTTGAAATTTAAATATTGGTACCAAATCTTCTCTATTATTGCATATGTTTGAATTCTTTCATGCAGGTATTCTTTAGACATGCTTGCAGTATTGACTATTGTCTCATCAATTCCTTTTTGATCAATGACCTATTTTCTGTATTTTGCAACTGCTTTTGTGCTAATTTTGTGGCTGCAATAAGTACTTTATTGATCTATTATGAAGACAAGTATGAACATGCCCCATTCTTTCAGCTCTTCTATGCAGTTCTCACCAGAGTGCACCACCACCTTGGTGGCCCACCAAAAGGGTGACAAGAAACGGTGCTACTCACCATATCTTGCCGCTTTCAATTACTGCACACCAAGCATTTCCAAGCTATGATCTATGGAGACTCACACTAAACTTGTGTTTTGACATGGATTTGGTGCAGCTCACAAGGCAACCCACAATGAAATGTCAATGATCAAGCAAACACAAATATGTGTAGGTGTAAACATAGAAAACTAAGATGCAACAACTACTTAATTGCAAGACATTATTAACTAGACAATTGCAGAGCCTAATTTCTCATAATACAAACTGTTTGTCTTAGAATTGTCAAATAATAAAAGAAGAATCAATGTAGCAGGTTGGACAATACATATTGGGTTTGCCCATGTCTTAATGTATGTACATGAACAAGTCATGTTTCCGATCTGTGTCCAATAGGGAGCCATGACATATATCAAAGATTCAAAATGATTGTCCGATACTTATTGCAGAATAGGGTTGGAATGTAAAAATGGGGAAGTACCACTCATTTGATGCTTCTATACTAAAAACTTTAATCTGAACTAAAACAAAATTCCACATAAAATAACTCTCCATGAACATTATATTCAAAGAAGTTCCAATTCCAAGAAAGGATGAAAAACAGCTCACTCAAATGAACAATAGTAAGCGTAGAATCTATATGAGACTAACATTTGATTAGGATGAGGAAAAAAACAAATGAAACAGAAGACATATGAACCTGCAACAAATGAAACATGATATAACATGGTCAAAGACATTCTTACCTGGAGCGATATAGCCATATGAACCTGCAACAGCAGACATGGATTTTGAGAATGGAAAGTCGATCAACTTTGCCAAACCAAAGTCCCCAACATGAGCCTCTAGGGAATCATCTAGTAATATGTTGTTTGATTTTATATCTCGATGAATAATTTGAGGCTTGCAGTCATAGTGGAGATAGCATAAACCCTCTGCTGCACCAAGAGCAATCTTATATCTAGTGTTCCAGTCAAGCGAACATGTTTTTCCATTGCCATGGAGGTGTTCTCCTAGGCTCCCATTCGCCATATACTCATACAAGAGAATGTTAGCATCTTGGTGGTAACAAAAGCCATAGAGCTTCACAATATTGCGGTGCCCAATCTTTCCTAATGTTGATATCTCAGCAAGGAAGCTTCTGTCAACATTCGACCCTTCTCCACTGGATTTCAGCTTTTTAACAGCAATATGCTTGCCATTAGACATCACAGCCTTGTAAACTGTGCCACAAGCCCCTCTCCCTATAACCGCAGTCTCCGAAAAATGACCAGTGCCTTCCAAGATGTCCTGATATGTGAAACCTTCTTTGGGAAAATAATAGTTATCAGCCACATCATTACTCATTTGATCTTCATGGGAAACAAAAATACGTTCACGGTGCTTTATAACCCAGCAAATACTGATAGTAAGAACCAGCGAAACTAATCCAACAACCGCTAAAGTAATGCTCACTACTTTCTCCCTTGATGAACCCTCTTGTAACCAATTTGCATGTGTGGTAGAAGATGGAGGTGAAGATGGATGACAAATATTTGACCCTGCTCTGCACAAGCCAATATTTCCAACAAAGTTGCTGGAATCCATTTTACGGAAAGCAGGAGTGTTGGGTATTATTCCAACCAAGTTATTATTAGAAAGGTTGCAGACAATGAGACTTAACAGTGTACCAATTGAAGCAGGTATCTCACCAACCAGCTGGTTGTTGTTCAAATAAAGGGCTTCCAACATCTGCAAGTTTCCTAGATCACCTGGAATTTCCCCAGAAAGAGCATTATGGCTAATGTTAAGAGCAATCTGAAGAGCAGAAAGTTGACCTAGCTCAATGGGGATAGTGCCAGACAAATAATTCCCTCCCATTTGCAACTCTGTAAGATGGTGCAGACCTCCTAAAGTAGTCGGTATCCCTCCATTCAGTCTGTTATCAGATAGCTTCAGCAGTTCTAGATTCACTAGATTGCCAAGTTCCACTGGTACGTAGCCTGTGAAGTGGTTTCTGCTAAGATCAAGCCTCTGGAGCTTTTTACAGTTTCCCAACTCATGAGGGATACTACCAGATAGTTGGTTAGAAGAAATATTTAAGATCACAAGCTGTGCCAGTTCTCCAATCTCAGGGGGGATATGGCCAAAGAAGTAATTGTTTGACAAGAGGAGTCTCTCAAATTTTTTAAGCTTACCAATTTCTGAGGGTATAGGCCCTGAAAATCGGTTTTGATACAACTCCAGTGCAGAAAGATTCTGAAGTCTCGACAATTCAATAGGAAGGCTTCCTGTTAGTTGGTTATCTCCCAACATTAGTTGTACAAGAGACTTGCATGTTTTTAGCCCATACGGAATGTTACCAGACAACATATTTGACCCAAGGCTCAGGAACATTAACTTATGTAATTTACAAAGATTTGCTGGTATGTTACCTACAAGTTTGTTTTCAGACATGTCAAGGACAGAGAGATTGCTGTTGGCCCCAATAAGAGGAGGAATGGTACCTTCAAGCTTATTGTCAAAGAGTTGCAGATCCTCCAAACAGGTAAGGTTCTGAAACTCTAAAGGAATTGTACCTGTCATATTATTGATGGACAAATCTAAATTCCTCAACTGTTGTAACCATCCAAGCTCTCTAGGAATGCTTCCCTGTAGAAGGTTTTCAAAAAGATGAAGTAGGCGAAGATTTGAAATCTGACCTAGCTCCTTGGGAATGAAACCTGTTAATCGATTCTCAGAAAGGTCAATCTCAACTGTACTTCTACAGTTTCCTAGTTCTCGCGGAATTGTTCCAGTAAATTGGTTGGTGTACAAATATAACTTTTTCAACCGGGATAATTTCCCAAGCTCCTTTGGAATGCTTCCAGTGAAAGCATTGTCATTCAAAGCAAGCAACTCCAGGCTACTGCAGTTCCCAAGCTCAGGAGGAATCTCCCCAGATAAATGGTTCTGCCAAAGAATCAATGTGGTTAGATTCTTAAGCTTTTGGATCTCCCTGGGAATAGAACCTTCAAGCTTATTCTGTGCCAACCCTAAAATCTCCAGGTTATGGCATTCACTGATTTCTACAGGTATTGGGCCCGAGAGGAAGTTTAGACCTGCCCTGATGATCCTAAGGTTTTTCAACTTTCCAATCGATGAAGGAATTGTGTCAGTGAGGTTATTGCTATAAATGACAAGTTCTTCGAGATGCATCAAATTTCCAATATCAGTAGGAATTTGACCATACAGATAGTTCTCACTAAGAGAGAGAATTCTTAGATTGAACAATTGGAACATCTCTATTGGTATTTCTCCGTGTAACCTATTTGTGCCAAGGTCCAAAATCTCAAGATTCCCACAATTACCCAGTTCCTTAATTAAAGGACCAGAGATGAGATTATCTGATAAGTTTAACGCAGTTAACTGAGGAAGTTTACAGATACTGGAAGACAACTTACCAGACAAATTGAAGCCACTGAGATTTACAGATGTTACCTCAGAGCCAGTACATTCTATACCCGTCCAATTACAAGGAGTTGAATCTCCTAAACTCCAGTTTAGGAAATTGTTGTTGTTACTATTGCCAATAAGGCTCCTTCTGAATTCCAGAAGTGCACTCCCGTCTTCGTTCAGTGAACTTGCGAAGATAAAGCAGTAACAAATGGCAAGAACTAAGAGAAAATGACTTCCAACACGAGCAGAGGTCCTATGGGTTGCCATTTCCTGGACAAACAGAGGAAAGAAGCGAGAGTAGGGAAAGAAATGAGGAGACGGGATCAAATTCTCGCCTTTGGTCCTAGCATCTACTGTTCTAGAGTCAAAAGACAGGGACACACAGCACAGTGGGAACATGTTGACAGTCTTCACAACGATTGAAAGTTTTGTTCTCTCGATTGGGGGATATGTCATAGTCCTGAATCAAGAAATGCAGGGGTTGTGAGTGACCAAGAGTAGAGGGACTATAACCCACAGAAACAAGTAAATCAAGGACAAGTTTAAGTATGATCAAGACAACCAATCATCAGAAAACAGTTAATTGATCATTGGAAAAGCAGAAGGGATGAGGTGCAAAATCACATACCCAAATCAAAGAACTGCAAGTCTGCAACCGTATGACTGAGGAATCTTCCATGAAAACAACTTAGAAAACTCAATTCCAAAGCAAGTTCAAGAAGAAACAACACTAATTCGACCCACCCAAAAGATCACCGCTCACAATAATAGCGAATAATTCTGAATTGTAAAAGCTAAGCAGGATCAAGCTCTACCCGAGTGAGGAAATAATAAATTAAACCGAACCCAACCAAATGAAAACGCTTAAAAGTTGAAGAAAGAGAAGAGGAAGAGCCTTTTTTTTTCTGCCTTGAGAAGATTGAGTAAAAGGGAATAGAAAGTTACCTAATTGAGTAGCGCCACATCTAGGAATTAAAAAGGCCTAAAGGAGAAAGAAAAAGGTGATGAAGTAGCAAATGAAGAGATAAGAACGAGCCAGGGAGGGTCGGACATTTGAAGGGGTAAGAACCAAGGATTGAGTAACGAAGGTAGACAGACAGAGTAGATAAGGTATTCGAGTCAACCAAAGCCTGCAGTTCAACAGTGCTGCTATTTTCTGTTCTTCAATCCTCTTAATTCCGAAGCCAGAGCTTTCAGCTTTGCGCTGTAGTTGCTGTTGCTTATAGCTAATAGGTCTCCACCTCCACCTCCACCTCCAGCCCTTGTTCCATCTTATCATCATCATCATCGCCACTTTTTCCCTAGAAATAAATATAAAAAAATAAGATCGCTTTTGGGATGGATGATTGAGCAATCTTCTGTTGCTTTGTACGTAGTAGACGAGACAAGTCGTGTAGACGTTGAAGAATGAATGTCCGCCATTGTTGTTTGCTGGGCCTCCTCCTTAGGGCAAGTGTGGTTGTTGCTTGGCTTCTGTTGTTCTCGAAGGTCATCATTTCCACGCCGACTGCTTATAGCTTAGTGGAGACTGGAATCTCTCTCTTTCAGCGAGTGCGTGCTTCAGCAGGCAACAATGGTAATACTAATACAGACCCAATTTCTTCTTCTTTCACCAACTGTCATGTCATCATCTGTCTCCCGTGAATCAATGGAAAAATTTTGTTGCCCACGTTCCACAGCCTCTCTTCCATCCCTGCCGGACACGTCAGTCTACACTCCACACGAATTTTCCGAAACTCACTTTCCGTTAATCTTTCTTAACATAAATGACCATATCAGCATAAATAGCAATTTGTATGACCAAATTACCCATTGAATGGCAAATTAGGAGAAAAAGGGTCATTTAGATTAGGGTTAGACCGAAATTATTTCTCTCTTCTCTGCCTCTCTTGCTCAAATCTGGCCGCCGCACCTCTTTCTCTCGCTCAAATCTTGAAGGTAGTCATTGCATCGCCCTCTCTCTTGCTCAAATCTTGCCGCCGCTATAGCACCTTCTCTCTCATTCTTGAAAGTAGCCACACCACCCTCTTCAGACCTTGTCGCCGCACCACCTTCTCTCTCGCTTAGATCTTGAAGGTAGCCGCTACACCATCCTCTCTCTTGCTCAGATCTTGCCACTACCGTAGCACATTCTCTCTCGCTCAGATCATGAAGATAACCACTGCACTACTCTCTCTCTCTCTGAAGGTTGTTGCCGCACAGATCTACTATTTGAAGATTTGAAAGAAGGCGATCAAAAATTTCAAAGTTTTAGATGCTTTGAAACATTTGCAATGTATTCTTTTGAATTTGGAAAGTAAATCCTCCCCATCGAGGGTTCTACAGATTTATGCAAAAAAATATTTTTGTAAATTTTTATCTGATTGTCTGAAATATTTTTCGAAAATTTATTGCAATAATCTTCAGATTCAATGTCTAATTTTTGTTTATTTTTAAAAAAAAATATCATTTTATTAGTTTGTTTATAATTTTTGATTTTTTCTAAAATATATAATTTAAAAATCATTTTTTTATTTTTTTATTTTTTAGTTGATATTTTTAATTTTTTATCATTTTATGTATTTTTGTGTAGTTTTTTACAATTTTTACTTTTTTCTATAATATATAATTTTTTAATTTTTATCATTTCATGTATATTTACAATTTTTGTTTTTATTCGATCTTTATATTTTTTGAGTTTTTTTTGTCTTTTTCAATTTTCAGTTTTCTTGATTTTTTACATTTTGTGTTTTGTTATAATTTCTAATGTTTTTTATAATTTATATTTTTTACATTTTTCCATTTTCTGTATTTTTTTATGTATTTGCAATTTCTGTGTTTTTCTATAATTTTAGGTGTTTTTTTCTACAAATTTTTTTATTTTGTTTTTCAATTTCTATAGTATTTTTATATTTTTTGTAATTTCTGTGTTTTTATGTATTTTATATTTGAAAATATTTTTTTGAACATTTTCCTTTTTTTCATGTTTTTGTAGTTAAAATATTAAAATATATAGGTATAGATTTTATATTTTTCTATGAAGGGTTAAATGGTAATATATTAACTCCTGTTAGTCTGTTTAACGTCAAGTTAGTGATATGGTGAGTTTTAGATATTTTGAAAAGTTATGGTGAATTTAAGAGAAATGTTGAAAACTCATTGTGAGTTTTAGACAATTTCCCTTTTTTTTAAGGCAACCAAAGGTCAACCCATACTCAACTAACCCTTGCCAAGTGAGCAAGGTTTAGTTGAACGCTTAGTTGTTTAATGGGTCGTGGAACCAATCATAAGGTTCCATGTCAGTAATAAAATACATGGGGGCCGTATCTTTTATAGTGGGGGCCCATGAACTTATTACTAGCGTGGAACCTTATCATTGGTTCCACAGCCCGCTGAACAGCTAAAGCGTTCAGCTAATCCAAATTCTGCCAAGCAAGGTCCAAAATGGGCTGGCTTATTCAGTTTCTTGGGCCATAAAACGGAATAGCATTAACAATAAACTTAGCCTGTTAGCCTATACTTAGGGTTAGCCATACGTAGACTGCATTTGGCATTTCTTATTTTAAGGACTTTTCTCCTATTTTAGCTATAATATTTCTATAAATACTTGAATTTTTAATTGCAAAAATAAGATAAATCCTTAAAATAAGAAATGCTAAATGCAACTTTAGCCCCAAATTTTGCTTTACAACCGGCTGAACAGCCATCATTTTTTATGGAATGCGAAAACAATGATAATATTTTACACAAGTAATAAAATAAATGGGACCCACACTTTTTAGGGTGAGATCAATAAATTTATTATTGACTTAAAATATTATGATTTTTTTTAAGGTCAATAGGTTATAAGGCGGAGTGCCTCGTAACCAAATTCCTTAATGCTCATGATTACAATGTTGAATGATAGTAGAGTGATGGGACCGATCAATTTATTATTTACATGAAACATTAATATTAATTCTACAACCCATTGAACAACCATTGCAATCAATTTACCCGCAATATAGATCTCTGTACCAATGGATTTCAGTATCATATGTAATACATTTCACAGAAGAGTTTTTTTTTATCCACATTTGAGTAGTTGTTTTTGGTTTTCCACTTCTTAAAGAAAGTCACGGTCTACAACTCTGATGTGATGTGGCCACAGCCTTTGCACAATTAGGGTGAGAATGTGAGATCACATTTGTGCCCCACAGAGCGTGGGGCACCCTGTAGCACATCTCAATTGTTCAATTGTGTATTGATAACATCTTCTAATGATAAATAGGAGAGATATTCTCAATATATGCTGAGATGTGTATATAGGATAACATCTTCTATTGATAACACCGGGAGTGCAGACATGAATTCAACTGGGGTACTGGGGATTGGGGATTGGGATCGTCATCCCCAAAGCACTCCGGATCTGCTACCCCTACCCCCCATCCAGCCCGAGTGGGTAAGATTCGAACCCAATATCCACTACAACTTGCTAAAAAGACTTCATCATTCACCGGCAAATTAGTCAGCATGTGTGTATTTAGGGTTTGTTTGACATGTCTTTTTGGGAAGATTTTCTGGTAGTTTTGATAGTCAAAATATGCATTGAACTTTTGTACGAAGATTTAAGCAGCTCAAAGTATATTTGGTAGATGTGTGTCTTTCTATGTGTCTTTTCGTGCGAGAATAAAACACGAAAAGCTTCATTTAGAGCTTTTCGAAATCAGCCCAAAATGGGCTTTTCGCGTTTTTTTGGTGCTCTATCTTTTGGCGACTAGATCTTCCATGTGCCAAACAGAAATAGACCGAAAATCGGTCTTCCCGACTTATAAACAACCAAAAAACCGCATGGAAAGACACATAAAATGAGCCCTTAAATATTTTTAAAATTTCAAACTGCTGTTATTTTTATGACTAGGGGAGGGGGGAGAGACTATGCTACCTAGGGCCTAACCGGATTATAGATCAGATTTAGCAAAATCTCGATTCCCAATTCCAATCCGATTATTGAAAATGACATGAATTCAATCGGATTTAGAGATTTTGGATTCTAATTCAATCCTAATTAATTCGAATTGAATTTGAGGGCCTGTTGGTTTGTAGGAATAAGGGT